GCTCTCCGCAACTTTCTATACTTTGTAGCTTTAAAGCTAATACACACTGGTTTTGAATTCTTAAATTTTAAAAGAACAATAATGAGAAATGTATGAATAACATTTATCGCCCCCCCGCCCACACACACCATTAAATGCGTTTTATCATTTTTATGATGTCTGCTTTGTAAAATATCAGAAAATCATATTTTAATTGTCCTGTTTTTTGACATTGTATTATTATCCGACTTCTTTAGGTTCTATGTTTAACAAAGATATTTCAAAATGGTAAATTACATAAACCTTTGACCTCAGATATGTGTGCGTATTTAAATGAAGATTGATATATAAAAACGTGTATGAAAAATTCCAAAGGCTGACACATAGCAATTATCTGAATTTTGATCTGAAAATTTCAAACCTCAAATGAGTAGTGTATAAAATACTTTTAACTTTTACATGACTAATCGAATTTTGTCAGTTTTTGTGGTGTCCGTTTAGAACATTAGATAATCGTATTTGAATTACCTTCATTTTGAAAATGCTTAATTATAGAGCGTATTCTTTTTTGAGACACTATGTAATGAATATATATATATATATATATATATACAAGGAGTAATGTATAGTGGCTTGGATTGAGAAATCGGAGAGACGAGTTCGAATTCCAGTCGAATCCTACGTTCACTTACGTGCTAATACTTTTGGGAAAGGTGTGAATCCTCTTCTCCCTCCAGCTCTGGGTAAATAGCAGGACAAACTGTGTTCTATAGCCTTGGATGGCAACTGGTCTAGGAGAAGGACAACTCTGAATTCAAAACCTGCGGAGGGTCGTTTGGGGACCTTGTGGCACGTAGTGCACCAGGTCTCTGTATTCGTCCCTTCAGAAAGTGTGGATGGTCCTGCACGAAGCCTTCAGCACTATAATCAAATCTCATGTGCTGTTGTCGGGCTGTCGGTTTCCTAGGAACTGATTTGCTTGACCCACATAAGTCGAATTCGACGGGGAGAGTATATATATATATATATATATATATATATATATATATATATATATATATATATATATATATATATATATATATATATATATATATATATATATATATATATATATATATATATATATATATATATATATATATATATATATATATATATATATAAAGAGAGAGAGAGGAGGCGAGAAAGAGGATGATAGAGAGAGAGAGAGAAATAGAGCGGGTGTAACACCAAAATTGTTCATCCTACAAAATGTTTAATATCTAAAAAAAAAACGCCAAACTAATTTTCTTTTTTCCATGTTTTCAGATAAAACGTTTAGCCATCTTGAGATCAATTGCTGTAAGAATCACTGAAAATCTCTTCGAGTTATTCAACCAGAAAGAGAGCAGGTTAAAGTCGTTTTGTGTCAGACCCACTGTCTTCCCAAATAAGCACTGGTGAGAGGAAATGATCATTCAGGCCTTCACTAATGATACCAACATTCATGCTCTGGTTTCTATCTTCAAAGTCTATAACAGAACTATCAAAAGAAAGGTGAATAAGTTTAAAGAAGAGGGGGGCGTAGATAGGAAAACTGGACCAGGAAGTGACAACAGGAAGAAGGATCATCTTTTCGACGAAAAGCGAAAGAGATAAATTAGAAAAGATCCAACTCAATCCATATGTTGTTTGGTTTCGACAGCCTAAAGATCAGTGAAAAAAAGACTTGGAAATGAAATCGTACTTGAAACATGTGCGGCACATTGTTACACCAGGAGAAAATGTTATAAGGTTGGAGTGGGCAAAGATCATCTTAAATAAGTTAGAAAATTATCCTCATGGCGATTGCTCCGAGGAGCTGCATTCGCTGGTTCCCAGACTTCACGAGGTCAAGCGCCCTACGAGGCTGGCATCCCGCTTTCACCCTTTCACTGTCGAAACTCCTAAATGTAGCCGTCTCTTCTACTCTAATAGCTTCATGTCTCGCACTTCTCGCCTGTGGAACTCCCTTCCCTATTCCAGTTTCCCTGAGAGCTATAATCTCCAGCTATTCAAATGTAATGTCAGTCGACATATCCAGTTGCCTTGATCTATCCACTACCCTTCTCCTCATCCTTTCTTCTATCACTCCTATCGGATCTTGCTCCAAATCTTCTCTAACCTCTTGTGTCCTAGTGGCTTCTCGCCTTGCTTGGGGTGAAACACTTAAATATATATATATATATATATATAAAGTTTATTTCAATCCGCCATGAGCTTCCAATCTTAATTAATGATGAACATATAATTTTTGTTTATTCTCTATTTCATCACGATTCTTCTGTTAAGCTTGGAGAATAATTATACATTCTTATTTCTCAAAGTACATTGCAACAGTGTTATAAAACATCTGAGAATTCCAGTAAAATATCTTTAATCATTTCTAAGATACAACGGTTGAAAGCTTAATGTAACAAATAGACAATTTTGCTTTTACACGATTTGGACAATTTTGCTTTTTACACACGGTATATATATATATATATATATATATATATATATATATATATATATATATATATATATATATATAATTATAAAACAAATATTATTAAAGACAGCATATATTCTGCGTCAATTAATTTTAAAGATCGACTTTTCAAATTGCGAATAATCCTTCTCAAATGAAGATGTAAATCCAACAGAAATTGTCCGAAGTTTATTTCAAAAGAGAGATACAAGAAAACTTGTCCGAGAATATTTTCGTGTATATACACACCCGTACACATATACTTACATGTATCCGTACACACACACTTACACACACCCTTACACACACTTACAGACACATGATTCGCGCTCGGAAAATAATGCCTCCTATTTTATTATTTTGACCCACAATGTCATAGTCGGCAACAGAGGCTTAACCTTCCTGCTAATAACCCATATTTCTTTGCCCTGTAACAGATGTCAGTCTGGCAAAATGCCGACTGGCCTGAAATTATCTCCAAAGCAAAGACGTTCACTTAATTTTTCCATGTAGAAAATATTGTAACCACTAGTGTTTATCGATGCCTGTTTAAAGTTTACGGTGACCAAACATTGGAGATGGGTACAAATGTATGGTGAATAATGAGAGTCAGCAGTGGTGATAGTGACATATATGATAGACTCTATTCCAGGTAGACCTGTTCAGTTGCCAACCCATGAAACAAAGAGCGCGCCTTGAGAAAGCAACGATAATGGCGTTGACATTGTTGACCAATAGCAGTTTGGAGCTAGGGACTTGTACTAGCTTATGCTTTTTTGTGGATGCGGTATCTATAACAGTTCCTTGTAGAAATAAATAAGAGACATTATTTTTTAAACACACATAAGAGGCATTACTTTTAGAGCAAAATTAGGACGCATTACTTTCGGAGAAAAGTCAAGATGCACTAATTTCGCAGCAAGTTTATGATGCATTATTTTCGGAGCAAGTTTATGATGCATTACTTTCGGAGCATATAAACAAATGCCTTACTTTTGGATTGTATATGAGATGTATTATTTTCGGAATATAAAATGTGATGCATTACTTTTGGAGCATCATCTGTTTGTGTGTATGACAAGAGGTGATGGAGACGGATTTTTTTAGAAAGGTTTGCAGGAATGGTCGAAAAAAACTTTTCAGCACCTCCTGATTAATCATCTAATGCGATTTCTTGATTTGGGTCAGGCCGATAACTCTTCAGCCCACCCACGTTTATAATCCTTCCATAAGATGTTCTCTTTTTGTATTACATTTACACGCAATGATTCAGTGTTTAGTTATTAATAATCTTTTGTTTCTCTTCATAAATTGTTGCCAGGCATTAACACCTGATGCAGAAATTTACTGCTCCGAATTAAATGGTAGAATTTCTTTACAATTAAACTGAAAAATATTAAATGTTGCATTTTATTTTGGCAAGTTGAACTCCATGACGCCTTTCATCAATGCTATGCTGAACGTTGTTTCTTACGAAATAACGAATGAGGAAGTATTTTATTTTATTTCAATTAAAGTTTTTATTTCCATTAAGAGACCACAATTATATTTTCACACCAAAGTCCAAACAGCGTAAAACAAATCTTTTAAATAAACTCATTCTATAAAACCATTACGCAGTTTAGAATTTTTAAATAAGAAAAACGAGCTGTTTTTTTTTATCAGATAAAAGAATACGATAAAATCATCAATGAGAGGAAACAAAGTGTATTTAAAAAAAAAGATTTGCTTTCTGAAAGCCATCAGACTGACAACTGAAATAAAGCAAAAAAAAAGCAGAATTCAAAAACGTTGTAATATTTGCCTTCAAGGAAACTAGAAATGGACTAAAAATTGATAATTAGGTATATTGTTTCTCATACTTTATTTCATTTGTATTTTGCGTAGTATTTAAAGCTGACATGTCACAATTATTATTTTAAAAAATCAAACATAAAAATCATAAAGGATTCTGTAGCTTGACAAAACTGAAACGTTATCTGTAGATGGTGATTTTCTAAGCGTAGATTAGATGTGGCACAAGGCCGAATGTATAGGGCACCCAGTGGGGAACAACTAACTATTCAGTCTTAATTGTTCTAGCCAAGCTGAGATGACTGATGGTGATTTTCTAAGCGTAGATTAGATGTGGCACAAAGCCGAATGTATCGAGAACCCAATATTAGTTCGTAACTGATCTCGCAAGATACGCTTTCTAACCTTTACACCATGCTCAAGTCCTCAAATTTTATCTCTGTATGCGCTTTAGGGGCTTAGTTTGATTTGCTTTTTTACGGCTTGGCAACATTTTGCAGGTTATTTAAAGCCAAAAAATATTTTTGGATTGTACGAAATTTTTTGAGATAATAAAGATCTTTAATGATATATGTTCTATCAATTAACCCATAGCTGGGGGAAAAGATGGATTCATATATCTCCCAGATGCATTTGCGCCGAAGTGAACATAACAAACCCAACCGGAATTGGAACTCAGCTGTCTGATTTTTAATTCCTAGCTAGTATCCATTACACAACTCGCACATCCAAGCTTACAGCACCTTGTATTCACAAGTGGTCACCCATGTAAGGACTGACCAGGCTCAACGTTGGTTAACGTCGGTGATCGTATGAGATCCGGCGTTTCAACGTGATACGGCCGTAAGTCTATGTAGGTTGACATAGAAAAATTTTATGTTAATAATAAATATTTGTCATTTTAAGTAAACTTTTTTTTATTTTCCCTAATTAAAATCAGTGTACGTATAAACTATTCATGTACAAATCATACATATATAATATATATGTATAAACGGGATTTGGCATTAAATGACTCACAGGGTTGATATGCCAGAAAACCCATCAAATCAAATCATTACCCGCAATGTCACAATGCAGTTATTAAAGTCTTGAAATGAATGCAATGAACATTTTACAGCTCTAGCATAATTCCTTCATAGTCAGCCTATGAACTTTTCTGCCCACCGTCGTATGTTCTACTCATAAACTATTGATAGAAATTAGTCCTCATTTTTAGAAAAAAAAATCTTGTGCCATACCGATCCAAGATTAAGTAAATCAATGTATAACAAGATGGCACCTCAACCTGAGAGAAATTGTTCCGTTGCTTTTTCGGTGAATATAAATTCATCCTAGAGCAGAAGACATATTCAAATACTGACATTTTTCTTCTCTGGTAATAAGCAATGCCAAGTTAAGGATTCTAAATTTGTCCATTTACCAGAGCGGTGATAAAAACAGGATCCATATTTGGTAGGAAATGTTCCATTCTTGTTTATGGTGTAGAACATGTCCATTAATTCCTCACTCCTGACCCCAGACCACACATGGCACGATTTAGGAAAGAGAAAAAAAGGAAAATGAGGAAAATCATTGTCCGTGGAAGAGCAGGTGAATGGATGAAAATAATCTTAACGGTAAAGAAGAAATGAGAACAATTCGAAGAAGAACAAATTGTTTCTTAAGCTGAGAATGAGAAGGAAGAATGACTGGCGAGAGGCAGAGAAAATTCAATTAGAAAGAAAGAAAGAAAGAAAGAAAGAAAGAAAGAAAGAACATTTTGAATAGAGAAACAAGCAAGCAAGAAAGAAAAAAAGAAAGAAAGAAAGAACCTTTTGAATAGAGAAGAAGCAAGAAAGCAAGCAATAAAGAAAGAAAGAACCTTTTAAATAGAGAAGTAAGCAAGAAAGAAAGAAAGAAAGAACATTTTGACTAGAGAAGAAGCAAGCAATAAAGAAAGAAAGAAAGAAAGAAAGAACCTTTTGAATAGAGAAGCAAGCAAGCAAGAAAGAAAGAAAGAAAGAAAGAAAGAAAGAACATTTTGAATAGAGAAGAAGCAAGCAAGAAAGAAAGAGCATTTTGAATAGAGAAGAAAGAAAGAAAGGAAGGAAGGAAGGAAGGAAGGAAGGAAGGAAAGACAGACAGACAAACAGACAGAGGAGACAGAAATAAGTTTTGAACAGAGAAGAAAAAGAATGAGATTGAATAGGGTATTAGAAGAAAGAATGAAAGTTTTCAATAGAGAAGTGAGAGAATGAGAGAGGGAAAAAAAGAAACGAGAAATAGAGAACGTAATAAAGAAGCATTTGAATTGGAAAGCGAGCAAGAAAGAAAGAAAGAAAGAAAGAAAGAAAGAAAGAAAGAAAGAAAGATCGATCAATAGAAACGTACAAATAAAGAAAAGAAAAAGTATAATATAAAGGTGGGGAAAAAGAGTGAAAAGAGAGGAAGAGTCAGAAGAGAAACAATGATTGTCAAAAAAGAAAAGAAAAAGAGAAAAGAAAGGCGACAAGAAAAGAGAAGAAAGAGCAAAATTAATTATGATAGGCGAAAGTATAGATAAAGGAAAAATGAGAAAATCAAAGTGAAAAAAAAGAAGAAAAATGAGAAAAGACAAAAAAGGGAGAAAATACAGAGAGAAAAAAGGAAAAAAAGAAACGAATATAAATAGTAAAAAGGATTAAAGCCTACAAAAGAAAAGAAAAAAAAAGAAGCAAGAAAGAAGTAAAAAAAAACGGAAGAAAATGAAAAAGAAACTAAAAGAAACGTAAGTAAATAAAACGAAAGAAAAATATTCAGAGAGAAAAAAAAAAGACTGAAAATCAGAGACAACTACAAAAACAAAGAAAGAATTAATGCCTCATATAGATTGATATGCGTGACCACATCGAAAATATAATTCTTTTTTCAGTATTAATTTAGCAACGAAAACAAGTCAGTTATTGCCTATATTAACACATATTTAAAGCCGCCATATTTATTCTTATGTCTCCGACACCCAATACAACTTATTTTTCTTTATGTTCACATCCACAGACGAATCGAGTAACAGTGAGAAAACATGACAAAATGTCTGGTCATTTTCTGGTGATTTTCACTGTTCCACTCAGAGATTCTATTGTATTAATAATGCAAGCTTGTGGTCAGTTTATATCGGTGTGAGTGTTGGTGAAAGACGCAGTCGTTTCCACCTCGGACAGTTTGAATAAATACCTTCTTACACTTTTGACAGAACATACGGATATTAAAAGTTCTTTTTCTGTCTGCCAAATCACATCGAAACGACTTCCAATATCGACGTCAGACACTCAGAGGGCGAAACGTTAAAGATGATAATCATGAATAGCTGTATGAATATCTATATTTATAAAAGCAGTCTTTGTACATTTGTCATTTAGCGCCTCTTTGCAAGTGAGTTTGGAAAAAGATTGTAAGAGGCGCGAACGCCAAAGAAAACATGGAGTCCCTACAAACATACACATTGATAATGATTAGCTCTGACGAAAGACGAAGAATCTTCGTTTCTGCTGAATGGAACTAAATTATCTTATAAGAAAAGAGGTGGCGAATGAAAAGAAGTCTTCTCGGCTGACCCTTGCCTTTTTTTTGCTTAAGTGCCCCATGACATAACTGAATACAATAGAATTAATATCTTCTTTCTGCGTTTTCTACAAAAAACACATCTGATAACATATATGTATGGGTATTTGTGTATGTACGAGAAAAAAGGGGTGCTCAGAAATAGAAGATAAATTTGAAAGCACTTTAAATAAACCTTAACAGTTTCTTCCATCAAATAAAAGGTTGACGTTTACTTCTCTTGGGGATGGCGTGAGTTTTGCAAATACATAATCTCACTTGACGTATATAACATGACAAAAAAAAAAAGAAAAGAAATATTTTGCAATGCGCAAGTATTCTAAAGATTTCTTTCAGCCCAGTGGATAATTTGGGAACTTTCACTGACTCGATAACGAAGCTGATTGTTCATCATGGACTCTGATGTGAATATTTTACAACTAGAGGGCAGTTGTCATGTCGATTGTTGAATTAAACGTTTTTGGAAGTAGCTCTTTCAATGATCATTCTGTTTGTTATTATTCATAAACACATGTTTTTGTCAGGTGTTTTAGACCGACAATTTAAAGTGACACCTTCATTTTTTTATTAATCAGGATTTTTTTTTTTTTACTTTTAAGAAAATATGATTTTTCTAATTCTTAAGTTTTTTTTTTTAATTTTTCACTAATTTTGGTTTCATTGTATACATATTATTTACTCAGTCTAGTTTGGCAAAAGGAAATAAATATGTTACGTCTTGTGAGGATTCAAATCAATACTTAATAGTAAGAGTTAAACAGGCCAGATTTATTATCCCACATCTGATCACCCGATTTGGATTGGAACTTATCACAGCATTTTTCCATTGTATCTCTGTTAAGGAACTCTCCCTCACTCAGTATCTGTCTATATTTCTGAGATGAGGTAATATGTACTTTATTTACATTATTCGGTCTATTGTCCTATCTTTATTACAACGTTTCGGCCGTTGTACGCTCCGGCCTTCTTCAGGTGGTTGGAATGTCGAACTGAACCCTTTATTTCGCTCACTGCCCTCAAGGACACATGACACAGTGGATAAAGGTGTTGGTTAGATCCAGTGACAGGACCCAAAGAGTACGAGTGGAGAAATTGTAGAAGGGAATTAACAGGAGATAACTGATAACTGACATCCATTAGACATGACACGTGGAACTAGAACAGTCTACCCCAGCGTGCAAAATAAAGGGTACAGTTCGACGTTCCAACCACCTGAAGAAGGCCGGAGCGTACAACGGCCGAAACGTTGTAATAAATATGGCGACAAAGATGAGGACAATAGTCCGAATAATGTAAATAGTGTACATAATACCTCATCTCAGAAATATAGACATATACTGAAAGGCCAAAAACTAATAAAATGGCGACAAAGAGGTACATAATACCTCATCTCAGAAATATAGACATATACTGAAAGGCCAAAAACTTGTAATAAATATAGCGACAAAGATGAGGACAATAGTCCGAATAATGTAAATAATGTAATCCCTCTCTCATCTGTCTGTTATTCCTTCAAGACGTGGGCGATTATTGCATTCCTCATCTTTTTTTGTTGCTCTCAGTGATATTTACTTCTTTCCTAAATTTATTCTTCCTTCTAATTGCAAAAACTTATCGAATTCTTTCCTCGTTTCTTCTCTCTGCATTTCTTGCCTTTGGTGTAGATTGTGAGTGTTAACTTTTTCAAACATTTTTTCCTTAGTACATATCCATACATTCGAACTATAAATATTTAATCGGTATCACCCCATGCAAGGCAGTAAAGCCACTAAGACACAAGAAAAGAGTAATCAGGAGGGCAGCAGAAAGCGATTGGCATTGCACTTCATTTTTTGAAAATTAAAGTTATCTAGAACATATAGAAATGGCAGGGAATTCCACAAGCGAGAAAACAAACTGCTAGTAGAGAATTTACGGTGATATCTAACTAGCTCAACTATAAATGGATGAGATCTGGACGCCAGTCTAGTACAGCACTTAAATTTAAAATTAGTCTAGGTACCATAGCGAAAAGCTCATCTGAACAATTGCCATAAAAGTATTTATAGAAAAGGCAAAGGGAGGCAACCTTACGGCTGTAGGAAGGTGACTGAAGCCGAGCCGCCAGATCAGGATCAATAATATTGCTGATTCTTCTTTGGATTTTGTCATAAAAGCTCAAGGTAAATAGCAAGGGTACCGACCCATCTGTGGCAGCAATACTCTAAGCATAGACAAATAGTAGACTTATAGATATCATTCGTCTCTCTCTCTCTCTCTCTCTCT